GATCTATGATTTTTTAAAGTGTGATATGCTCTAACTTTTAGTTCCTTACACTTTAAACTTAATGAGATTAAGATAGAGAATTTTCAGACATGTCTTATTTAGGATATATCTAGAGTATATGTTAAATGGTAATTTATTTGATGATATAGATAACATAGTCAATAATGTTAGTCAAATGATCATTGTTCATGCTCTATTATTATGTTGGCAAGATAGAGCTTGGACTGGTTCCTCATTATAATGATAAATTACCTGGGAGTTCTACAAAAGCAGTCCAATGTCTTCAGTATCTATAATTCATACACACTGATATCCATGTCATAGCATGAATTCTGTATTCTGTAAAAATATTATATAGATATAGAGGTTATTGGATTAGCTTGTTCAAATATAACATATCCCACAAAAGGTTTTAACTTGCAATTTGTGACAGAAATGGCATTGATGAATATAAATTCCTTGTATTATTTACTTTCTAATGATGGTTAGCACTTATATATTGTAATATTATATCTTTTTTGTAATATTTCAAAATGTGAAATATTGGAACCCTAAAGTCTGCAACATCTGTTGACAAAAATCACAAAATAAAAACTACAGTGCACTGTGCAAAGGGCAATATACCATCCAAGAACAAGGTAATTGACATCTATGTGTTCACAAGACTTTTGGTATGGGTGGGCATAAATTTATGGTTTACAGTAAGTGGAAGTTTTCCTTGATATTATGTAGGCCTGATATTATTTTTCGGTTAAAATTCAATACTATGATTGATGTTAGTCTCAGTTGCACTTCCCTTGTAATTTTGAGGGGTTTAGGGAAGGACTTTCTTTCCTGCCATAGTGAATTGCCTTTGACTTGTTGGTTGCATTAGTTATCATTTTTATTTCTTTGATGTTATTGACTTTCCTGCTATTTCTGATATACCTATTTATTTTATTATTCAGCTGTAAATTCATGCAATGTATTACATAATATGACTGATGATAAAACTGTGCTCTTAATCATAAACATTTTGAATTTATAATATGATTTGAGATATTACTGCTATATGGAAGTTGGTAGGAGACTAAGTCAATAGTTGCAGATTTTGGGTGACATATATATCACAAATCAAGGGAGATTAAGTGACTGCTGAAGAGAACCTTATAAATTTTTTGTAGTTTATGGAATATATGCATGTGTGTTGAGAGTGGCAGTGATAAAGCTTGTTCGCATAAGATGGTGAGATAGAAATATGTGGTTGCAGATGATTATATAAGATGAAAATTAAAATTTCAATGGTTAGTCGTTAGCAGTAGTAAGTAGGTCATCTCTTGAGATTGATACAGAAAAAAATATTACCACAGATTATAGGAGAAAAATGTTAATGCATTATTTGAGAAGAAAGAATAAAAAGAGATTGAATAATGAAGTATTATGATTTGAAATGTTCATGCTGACCTTCATAATAGTATAGAAGCCACACGAGGAAGATAGAAGGATTTTTCCTTAAATCACATTTTGAGCGTGTCAGTTTTGGTAGATGAATGACAATGACTTGCTTACAAATTTCCTCGTATTTCCCGTACATTGTGAACATAAGCGCAGTCTGTTTATGGTTACCAAAGAAAGGACATTGTAATAAGACAAGCAACAGGAACAGTGGAATTAGGAACTAGATATACAGTTGAAGAAAGAATAGAAGGTTACAGAATTTAAAGCAAGTGCAAAGCATTTGGAAAATAGATATTTATCTATCATATCATGTTTCTGAGTATAAGATAGGTAATATTTCTTCTTGTTTTCATTTGTTTTTTTATTTATTTATTAATTTTGTATTTACTATTATATATTTCTTTTTCTGTGTTGCCACAAATATTTATATTTTTTGTATAGATTTACTTGTTTTCTCTTGCATTTATAATAAGCATCATGTTTTTCCCATTATTTCAGTCACAAAAACAAGATGCTGCGCTCGTTGTATGCTTACAAGGAACTCATGCCCGTACACTTGGATTCCAAGTGGGCGACAAGTTCATGGAGATTGGTCCTTCGAGAGATCCTAATTGGCTGCATGTGATTAATGAACGAGGTTCTGTGGGATATGTCCCCAAGAATTATATATCTGCAGATGAGGTAAAGGATGTGAAAGTTCATCGAAAATTGTAAAAAAGACCATGATTTTGTGTATTTTGTGGATGTTTTGAGATTAAGTGAAATTCTTTGAATCAGGTAAGTAGGACATTCTCTACTTCTCTCTTTCTTTTTATCTTGTGATTTTGAGACTCTCTAGTAATAACATGGTGGTTAGTTGGCCTTGTTATTAGGATTATTTGTAGTTTTTATATGGATATGTTTTCGGGGTTTTCTTTTCTGTTTTTTACTTCTTACTTTTTGCTTTTAATAAACTTACTTACTGGAGAAATAGTCCAGCTTATATTGCCTGACTATGATCTCTTGATTTCCACTTAGCAAAGTTTCTTGAATAGTTTATTTTTAATTTTTGTTCTTTCTGTCTGGTAAAATGCCTAGTAAAGAAATACATGCTTATTATTTTTTAACAATCTGGGTATTGCTTCATTGGAAAAATTATTTATTTTTCATGTGTTCTTTTTCTGTTTAACTCATTTTTTTTTTCTTTTGTTCTTTTCCTTATCATCTTCCTTGTTCTCAACTTCCGTCCTGGGCAGGGATATGTACGAGGGCAACCATGCCAGCAAGAAGACCCTGCACAGGAATCAGAGGTAATAAGTGTTGAGATATGGAGTTTGTTTAGATGTAATGCTTATATTTTGAGAAAACTTTATTATTCTTATTATTGGTGTTATTATTATCATTATTATTACCTCCACCAAGGAGGTTATGTTTTCAGTAGCATTGGTTTGTTAATTAGTTTGTTGGTTATCAGTATAACTCGAAAAGTTATGAACAGATTTTTATTAAATTTTTACCAACAGTGTATTTTTGCCCAACTTAGATGCTAAAGTAAAATGATGAGTTATCCTGCACAGAATCTGGATCATGATTCAGATCCTGTGCAGGATAATAAAAGTTACAAGCAGATTTTAATGAAATTTTTACTAGAGGTGTATCTTAGCCTATGATGCTATTTTATTTTGGTGGTGATCCGGGGCGTGATCTGCATCCAGGAATTTTTTAAAGGATTCATTAGCATTGCAAAATAGGGAAACACAGACATCATCAGTAGTACTTGAGAATGAGGTGATTTTAATGTATTTCTTCGTTTCAATTTTTTATTGGATCAGTGACCCTGTTGCCTTGGCAGAGGCACTCTCTGAGTGTTTCTTATTATTAATTTGAGAAAAGTTTATTATTATTATTATTGTTATTATGTTAATTGTTATTATTATCATTGTTATTAATGTAGTTATTATTATTGTTAATTTTATTTTTGTCATTATTACTGTTATTTTGTTGTTATTTGCTTCAAGTTTATTTTTCTTCATCTTTTACTCTTACAATCACATATTTTTGCATGCCTCTGATAGCTCTGTATTTAATAACACAACAACTACATCTCAATGCTATCATGATAATGATATGCCTTAAGATTATGATGAGGATGATAATAAGTCATAAACAGTAATTATGACTTACATTCTGAAATTATTTATGCCGTCTGTCATTATTATTTACAGAAAACCAACCCATTTTAATGTACTTTCAAGAAATTTATGAAATATGAGAAATATTTTGAAATCAGCCAAAAATGATTATTGCCATTGACATCAGTCAGTTTTGTATTAATGTTCTGTAACTCATTAAGAACATGATGGAAAGTAAAAAACAGGAGAACCTTAATGTTTTTTTATAATTTTTTTATCAACAGCAAATTCACCTTAATTATCAACTAATGAGTCCTTTGGTTATTTCTTTGGCATGACAGATTGTTTGGGGTTCACTTGGATTTTGCTCTTGTCTCTGTTTGTATTATGATATTGCTTGAAGATATTTTATACTTCCATTTGTTGTTTTTAGAGGCAAAAACAGCACAACTTCATAAAAGAAGAAAAAAAGTTTAAAAATATATATCAGGCATGCTTTCGTCTAAAACAAATTGGCTAGCCTCATTAAAGTTGCTATTCATTTTCAGGCTCCGCCCATTGATATACTTGAGTTTATTGACGGTTGCATTGAAGCCATTCATTTAAATGCAAGTGAACGAGGTGGCAACTATACTCGTGGCGAGCATGATGCCCTCCACAAGCTTGTAGAATTGAGACAGGATTGGTACAGCAAGTGTCCTCCATCCTCGCATCCTACTAAGCGTCCTGCTCCTCCACCGCCACAAGTGAGTGTATTTCATTATAAGTATACTATAACAGGATGATTTTAAAGACAGATACTCCTAAAATTTTAAGAAGGAGCCCATTTAAGGTATTGACATTTTTGATACAAAGTTATGAAGTGACTCTTTATGCTGAATTCAACAACTTTCAGATATTCAATACATTGCAGTAGGCAAATTCTTGTCATTTGCCCCAAAAAATGATTTCCATTTAATGTTAGCAAGCTGTCCAACTATAGGCGTATGTATTAAACATCCAATTTGCTGTATCTAACTCATAGACATTCATTACAAAATTGTGCAATAGTACTGGTATCCTGAACAGATTTCACTCAATAAGATTTCCAGAGTATATCGTTTGTAATGCTGCTGTATATTGTTTTTTTATTATATAATACGGTCATTATTTCCTGCCTTCACATTCTTAAGAACATCAGTGGATACTTCCATCGAGTAGTTGTTTACTGAGATATGGATATATTATGTAAATACTGAATCCTCATCAAGAATGAACAGAAGAGAGTTCCTTTCTTTCCTACAATAACATTTGCAGCGTACGACGTCTCAGCTCAGTGTAGACAGTGTTGGCAGCCTACCATCCCCATGTCTCCCGGGAACTCCACGCAGCCCTTCAATATCAGCAAGTGGGTCATCAATTAGCTTAGGCCCCCACCCAAAGAAGCAACACACAACAGAATCTTCCGCTGAAAACTACTACCAGCTTCATGGCTCGAGGAGAATCTCTCGGTACTACATTCTGTGTGTTTTTGTGGTCTTCTTTCTCCTCCTTTTTTACTTACTGGAATAAATTGGGAGATTGGTGTATTACATTATTAGTGTGGATGACTTAACTGGTTCTGTATTGTATTTTTTTGCTAAAACTACCCATTTTTTTATATGTCCTCCATGTTTTACCCAGTCACAGTGTCAGAGTTTTCCATCAGACTTGTACTAAATAGAAAGGAATTTTATGTGTAAGTACAGATGTATATTTTATTCATTATAAGATATATCCACACCTACTTCCAAGTGGATATTTCAGTGATGCAGAAGTAGATTATTGTAAATACTTTCGTCAGTCTTCTGATAATAGACACAGATATAAATGTACTCTTGAGAATGAATAAAGATATTGTATTATGATGAAAAGTTGTAGCAGGTATTGTCACTGTATGAAAGAATTTTTAACCAAGAGAAGGCAGACAAGGATATGAAAGGGCTGATTCCTGTTGCCATCAATTTACTGAAAGACTTTCCTGTGTATCTGTACTCATTTTAGACACACTGAAATATTATTAGGCTATTTAACATGTTACATGTCTTTTGTTTTGTAGTTCGAGATGAGAGCAGTGGAAGCAGCGAAGGTCATGATACTAGTATAGGTTACGAATCAGAAATGAGAAGTGACGTAGATTCAGTGGTCCAGACAAGCATCAAGTAAGTATATTTTACATTTTCTGAAATTCTTCTATGCTTGTTTGACTTTAGTGTTTATGAATGAGATAAAAATGAAAGTAAAAATACAGGGTAGCTTGAAGAAAAAACATCTTTATCTGATTTACTTTTAGGTCGCTTCTGTCTCAAGTGCCAAAGGAATATCTCCGTACATTGGTGGAAGAGGTGCAGCAGCACTAGTATAAGCTACACTACTAGTCATCAGGTACAAAGTATTTATTTCTGTATATACTTTTTGTTTTTTTTTTTTTTTTTTTTTTTTTTTTTTTTTTTTTTTTTTTTTTTTTTTTTTTTTTTTTTATTTAAGGGATGGGTATAGGATGATTTGTGAGGTTTTCTACAAACAAAAGTTATTCCCAAGTAGTGTGCACTAGCTGATATAACCCTCTTTTAATCATCTGGTTGAAAAAACTGTGATGTTGACTATTCTTTTTCCCATTTTGATATTTAAAAAAAAATCCAAGCTATTAGAGACTAGAACTGTGTACTGGCTGAACTTCACTAGCGGAAATGGACTATAAGTATTATTATGGTCCTCAGATGTTTGATTAAAAGTCTTCATAATTATAAAATGCTTCCATACATCAGGGTGTAGACTGTATCCACGTAATAGATCCATGATTATGTATGGCAGATGATACACAAGTGTTTTGAATGTTAAGAAGTTTTTATTTTTATTTTTTTTTAAGGTTTAGATTGCATTAATCCTTGTTTTTTTCTTTATTCATTCTTATTTCAGTATCACTTTTTGTTTGTATCAGGTGTTTCACATAACAATACTTAAATATTTTTATTTTGCATTTTTATTTCAAGATATATAATTTCCAGAGTGCTCTAACTCTTTATTTTTGTTCTTTGCTTTCATCATAACTTTTGCAGAGCAGATTCAGATTTCCACTCAAAAATTATCGAAACTGATCAGGCTCATTTTGAAATGGAGTTCAACATGAGTTTTACAAATTAGTCCTTTAAAAAACCAACCAATATCAGTACCACTGTTTCATGCTAAAGAGCTTTATTCCAAGGACAAGACGTCCAAGACTCCCACAAGGACAACTCAGCACCGTACGACTCTCAGTTATCTGTCTACTCAAAGGTAAAACAAATAAGGAAATACAATGCCAGAGTGTGAAACATATGGCATGGAGAGCTTTTGATCTTCCTCAAGTTGCCTTCCATCCTCCATCAGTTGTAGTGGTTATTAAATCTCAGAACTAAGTGTTATAACTAATATATATCTGTTATATGTGTATGGAGCTCTGAATATAAATGCAAGAGCTTACTGTAATTACTGTAAATACAGGTTTGTTGAAAAAAAGAAAGTTCCAAGTAGGAAATAATCTTAAAATTCTTACTTCAAGAAACCTATTTAATGGATCTCACTGTATCCATGATAAATCTTTCTGAACCTGTTTCCAAAAATGAAATACCTATTTAGTCTGTGTTTAGTTTATTTATGATGGTTATTTATAATATTCTAAACATTTCCAAGGGACCAAATGGCGTGTTGACAATTTCTTTCTGTTACAATTAATGCATGTATAAAGATTTTTGGCTTAATTTTATAACCTTGAATTTTATTTGAAACTAACATTGATGTTATGCTTAATGTTGCTGCTTAATTTTTATTTATTCGTTTGCTTAAGTATTTTTTATTAATTTATTTGTTTATTTATTAGTCAACAACATCTTTTCATGTCAGATTTTGAATTTGAAATAAGTAAAAATTTTGCTACTCCAGTTTTTTTCTCTGGTGGACTTTTGACATAGAATATGTATTATAACAAAAAATTCAATTACCATATGAGGATATTGGGGAAGGACAATGTGTGATGAAGCACTGACTTACAGAATTAACCATAGTTGCAAAATAATGTAATTTGTAAGGATTACATTAAAAATCAAACCTGAACAGGAGTTAGGAAGTAAGAACAGTTTAAAAATGAACAAAAATATGTGGGATGACAGTGTTAAGTATGATAGCTGTTTAGAAGAAGAATTGTTTTTTTTCTTGCTGACTAAAGGTTTCAACCAACAGGTAGTCGAAGTGGTGCTGAATTCATTAGCTACAGCCTTACCTGTCCTCCAACCACTGTGCTTACACATCCTATCAAGCAAAGGAGGTAAGTCCCTTTTAACTTCAAATGCAGGGTTATATACATTGCTTTTTTTTAGCATAATGCATATATTTTAATGTTTTTATTATTTAAAAAGGATGCATAATTTATAAAGTGTACTTTTGTCATTCTTTTAGCTTACTCTGGTATATATCTCTTGGCTTACTTTTAGCTTTCACTCATATCTAAAGGCCTATTTTCAGTATACAAATTGCAAGATTTAATCTGTATCAGGATTACAATACATACTTTATTTTAGTTTGTTGTGTAAGAAGGAAATGAAGAGATATTTTAGGATCTTAAGGGCACATCAGAAGAAATTCTCTCGAAAAAGACTTAACTGCATGTCACTTATTTATGAAGTATGATAATCCCATATGTATTATACATAATTACTAGATCAAGTGGACGGAGGAGCTGACAAATGGCAGCAGAGTTCAGATGGACGACGCCTAGTGGAGCTCCTGGAAAAGCTACGAGAATGCAAGGATGACGAGCAGCAGCGTTCTTGGCATTGCATGAAGATGAGCACACCATCACTACTCATCTATCCGATCTACTTGATTGTTGGTGAGTTCAGAAGAATCTGGTCTCTGAGGTGTTGAAATAGTGTATGGAGGAGGTCTGAGTGCAGAGAGAAAAAAAAAAATCAGGTTATGGTCATGTTTAAAAGAAGAGAGGAAATCAATGTCATTCAGTGTATTCACTGAGTAAGTAACAAGAAATTACCTCACCTATGCAAGAATTGGTCTTAGTAGGATATTTGACCATCAGATATAGCTATAATTCATTAATGTATTTTTAAAATTTCCAGTCCAATAACATCATATATGATTTGAAAGAAATATCATCCCACTTTTCAGATGAAACTGTTTGAACATATTATTGATACCCACCCTAAAAAGATAATTACAAGACACTAGCAAAACAATTTTATTAATAACTGTGACTTGAAAGCAAGATAGTGGAACGGAATAAACCTTTTCAGAACACAGGAGACCTGATGGTGTGTCGAAGTGTTTTGTCCCTGGATGATTTTAGACCTTTGTTGACTCTGGTACAGTACTACCAGATGGAAACAAGGTGGCCTCTTCGGAAACTCCTGCTGCAAGTAAGAATATTAGCTTGATGCTTGAAAGTAGTTAGGCTTGTATGGTATTGCTATTCCAGACTGGGTCAGCTTCACTCATGCTTTTAACACTTGCAAATGCTGTTGTGTAAGCAAGGAAAATTCTTTGTGCCTGACATCTTCACTCAGGTTAGCATATAAGATCATGTTTTCATTATGTTATAATGGCTGATAATAAAATGTGTTGTGGAATATAACACTTAGGTTTATTGTTGTTTGATGAAATGTGGTGTTATGCATATAGATTGTACTGTCTGTGTCTTTGTGAGAGATTAATTTCTGTGATACATCTTGTATTTTTTGTCCAATTTGTTAACTGTTTTAACAGTTCTCTCTCATGTGAAAGGTCTGAGTATCAAGTGCTTTTGGTGGACTGCTACAGTTTCATGTGAAGCTGATTTTAAATACATTGCAATATATGCTTTCAGGTCTTTGGTGCTGTATGTCAGATGTCGGCAGCAAATATTTCTTATCTCTCTGCTTCGGTGTTCCCAGTTGAACTTACAAGGTTAGCAGTCATTGCATGTAGTCATTCACACAGAGATGTTGGTAATGATTTTTTTTTTGTGTCCTTCATGAATTTGCACAGTAGAACAACCATACATGTTCATGATAACCTACTTGACTCGACTGCATTTTTGTAGTCAAGTTGGTAAGTGTCATTTAGACCATGGAAATGATGTGTGGATTATCAAGTTGTGTAGTAATCTCCAATTTTTATTTATTATTTTTTTATTTTTTTATTTTTATTTTTTTTTTTTTTATTGTAATTTTTTGTAGTATCATTATTATTTTTGGCATTTACACAGTCACTCTTGAGATTAGGAATTGTGCCCTATCATGATTATTTTAAGGTATCATAAAGAATTGTCTTTTGTTTGAAAGGAGAAAGTCCAGAAACAATATTATTAGAGCATTCATTCTCAGATAATTTTCTGACAATGTTATACTGGGAAGTATTACATTTCTCACAATTGTATTTTTATTTTTTCATAATGGCAGGGAACTGCTTGACAGCACATACGACCAGGAGCGGCTGAGGTATACTTCCTTGGTGCTCGGATGGTGCTGTGTATGGGGGATACTCTACCGTATCCTCATTTCTGTAAGAAAGACAAGCAAGCCTCTAAGATAATTTTCCTTGTCTTCTTTTATTTCTTTCTTTTTTGGGGGGGATGAATGAAATTTCTTTTTTCCTTTTCCTTTCTTATCTTATTTTATGAGTTCTCTTTTCAAATATTTTGTCATATCAGAATGTACATATTTGTAAAGTAAACTAGATAACCAGTAGTATCCCTCTCCTATTTAAGAAAGTTTAAGAATATTTTCTCTGGCCTAGGTGTGATGAATGAAAACTTCATGAATGTACTGCTTGATGGAATATAGAGCAGTACCATGAGGATCCTGACACAGAACAGCTGGCAGAGTTGTATCTAGCCATAGTTTTGGCCTTCAATCTCCAATATACAACGCTCCCGCCATCAGCAGTAAATCCGCCAAAATCTTGTGAGACCACAGAGGAAGGGGAAGGTGGAGTTAAAAGTCAGGCCAATGGAGACCTTGAGGAGAATAAGGATGCCACGAAAACTGCAATGGGAGCTGATTCCGAGAATATAATCATCAAGTTATTATCAAAGAGGGAAAATACAAAAGTACTTCACAGAGAAGCTTCTGCTGTTGTCAATAGAGAAGGTTTGTGTGGTAGATTTGGTATATTTTTAAATTCAGATCTTGCTAAGGTATGTTGAGTAAAATGTTTAAGAATGTTCTGAACAGATTCATGGGGACGTAAGTCAAATCTCAATATAAGTCATCCTTATAACTTTTTCTGACTTGCATGTATCTTACTGTCTCTGTAGAGGATCCATTAGCCATGTTCGACCACGAGCCTCGGCCACCTCATTCAGTATTGAAAATGATGAGAGATATGTATTCCACAAGGGCTACTGCTTCAATCTTCTACACAAATGATGAATGTGTTCTGTGTGATATTATCATAAGACAATTGTCGACCTTCCTGCAGATGATAAGGGTGAGGTTGATGTATGATGTGACATTGCACAGTGCACTTTCTTTGCTTCCTTACAGTTCCTTGTCAATTCATTTACATGTGAAGAAGCATGACAAAACAGAATTATAAATTAGAAAGTCATCAAATTTTATGAGATTTTCATTTTGAAGTCACTGCAACAAATATCAAAGAAAAAGGCTGAACATGTGAATTCTCAGCAGTGAAGTGTATCTTGATTGGTCTGTTATTTTATGTTAAGATTGCTCTCATATTCCTTTTCTCTTTCAGCGTCGGAATGAATACTTACATCTTATGGAGGGAGTCATAGTAGCAGGGAGATGGACAGAACACCAACACAGGCGTAAAGAATTGTGCTCAGTTGTGCCAATATACTTGCTGAGGAGGAACCAGCAGCAGTAGATGATCAGAAGATCATCAGTTCCCTCATGGAAAGTCAGCCATACTTTTTTCATGTTTGAGTGATGTAAGTACATCAGTTATCTTGTTAGGAAGTGTTTCATAAATGTAAGCAGATTTCGTTATCATTTTCTGTAAATTTTCCCTCTCTTTTTTTCTATTTTCTTTCTTTTCTTTTAAAAGAAAACCAAGTGGTTTGGATGACTTTTTGACCTCAAAAAAAATATTTTGATTGTGATGTCCAGCCAAATAGTATGCCAAGCTTTATATTTTGTAATCAACATAAAGAAAATCTTCCATGAGAAATTATGTGCCAACTGTAGGATCCTGTACATTATACACTATTTGATGTATCCTAGGGCTTGAATGGGCATTAGTATAAAGTGTGATAGCCCAGTGACATGTGTGCAGCTTTTAGTATGAGGTCATGGAAGGGGTGAGAGTCAATAAGAGTAAGAACTTCAGCTAGAGATACCATTGAAAAAAGGACACCAGAGCCCATTTTGTAATTATTTTTGTTATTATTATCATTATTTTTAATATTATTACTATTTTTATTATCATTATTATTATTGTTATTATATGTTTATAATGTTTAATTACCGTTACTGCTGGTAGTGTAATTGTTGATATTATTATTATTATTATTATTATTATTATTACCATTTGTAATGTACATATCAGAAAATAAGTTTCCATGTTGCCTAAGATTTTGAGAGAAGAAGCCATGTCACCTGTCAAAGTGCATTTACAGTCATGTTTCATCATCATGGGCTCACAAGGCTTTTGTCAAATGCATTAATTCATCCTTGAACAGACAGCATACATGACGGTGTTTCCTGTTGTGGAATAAGTTAAGAGAAAGGTAGATATAAACTTATGAACTTGGTTTATTGTAAAATGTATGAATTTTACACAGTTCATAGAAGTATTGGAAATCATTTTCCTGAGGATTGGTATGAGATTGTTTGATTTTAGTTATTGGAGACCATGCATTATTATTCTCACTTGATTGAGTATTTTCTGTTTTTAGTTCCTTCATAAGGGCATTATGTAAGTTTACTGTATACCATTTGCTGAGAAGACAGCTGTGTTTTGCAATACTCAAATCATAAATTAAGGTTTCCACTGAGGAAGTTTGACAAGGAAATTGGCAGCTGTGAGTTTTCTGCCGGGGAAATACACATAGAATTTTTTTTTTATGGTGTAGTGATTACATCATATATATATTATTTGATAGGGCAGGATAAGGACAAACTGAAGGAAATTAAGGTTGCTGATAGTTAAGTTGATTGATTGTTAGTCAAATTTGCCTTTGATATTTGGACTTTGAGATTTAAAGAATGATTAACAATTAATTGGTGATATAGAGCTAAGATATCAGTAATGACAGGCAAAACAGTTTACCCCCAAAATCTTAGTGGATGACAGAATGCCATTTATCTGTCTTTATTATGGGAGTGTAGCTATTGTTTGTTAACCCTGTATGTACATTTTATTGATATATGCAATTTTTTATAGCATGTGACATACAGTAAACTTTTTAGCACAGTTTGTTTTTTTTGGTTGCATTAGTGGAAAATGATGTTGTTATGTGAACTGTGTATTTAATTGACTTAAATTGATTCCTGAATTTTGAATATTCAGAAAATGGCCATCATTTACAACTGAAGCTTTAACTTTATTTTCAAAATCCAGACAATATACTTAGAAATTAGAAGAATCATATGGATCAGTGCCTTTTATCATCAACATTTGTCAGCAGCTGATAAAAAGTCAAAGGCTGTTTCGATGAACTCCAAAAACTATTTTTTAAAAGATCTAAAGATAAGAGTTGCTTGCTGGATTCCTGCTCAGATGCAGTGTTCAAAACGTCTTCAAAAGCTTTTGCTGACAATCAGACATTTGGTGGATAAATGTTGGATATCTTTTTCTTTTCCCCTTTATAGGAACATATATATTTGTTAGATAGCTTTAGCAACTGTGGCTTTCTCCTTTGCATGAAATTATATATTTAGTTATAACCTGAGTTGCCATTTTTTTAGTAATAAACATGTTACCATATTTTTACAGGAACATTTAGGATAAATGTGGCTTAGTTGAGGATTTCAGAGTATTGTTATTACCAGTAGGCTTCTACTCATTTATTTATTTTTATTGTTTTGTTTTTAATTCTCATATCTGTTAGAGGTTGGCTATGCTTAGTGTTTAAATTTACTTTCGCAATAATTACTAAGAAAATCATAATACCTGGTGATTACAGAAATGGTGATTTTTTCACATAAAGACAAGGCTGGTTGTGCATGTACAAGCTCTGCATTTTTGTGATGTGATACTGAATAGCATTTTACAAAGACATTTCTGTGGAGGCATTTTGTAATTTACTTTTCATCTAGTTTGTTATGAGAGACTTTAGTGTCCATACAACTTAAAAAAAAGAAACATGGAAAGAAAAAAAAGACTGAAAAGTATTAGGCATGTTAAAAACTGTGATTGCAGTCTATACTTGTCTTTGATATTTAGATGATAAGCCAAAAAGAGAGTAAAAAATAAGAAATTAACCATATTCACCAGGGCAGCATTATTATAAACACAAATAAGGTGGCTGGTTTGGGGTCTCATGATTTAAGAGCATTATTGTTATTTTGGTTTTTCGTTATTATTAATTTTGTTGTTCCAAATGTTAAGATTCTGAGTTCTCTTATTTTAGTTTCCATACTCTTTTCTTTTTTATTTTGTTTAGTGAAAGTAGCATACTTTACTATAGTCATTTAGATATAGGCTATAAGCTTTACATTTAATTTAGGAATTAGTGCATGATTAAAGAAAAGACAACTCTAATTTAGGTCTGCGTTTTGATTTCTGTAATAAAGGATAAGTCTGCAATTTAGCATTTTCAGTTAATTTGGCAAGCAGTGAATCTCCAGACAATTTTTCTGAAGTAGTATCTAAAAACGTATTTATATTTATGCACCAAACTTTGGGAACAAAAATTGTTAGTAGTCAATGTTGATACAATATTTGTTGCTTTAACCTATGTACATTATCATGCATGGAAAGATTGTTGGTTTGATATGATTAAACTTTTATTATTTGTCTATATCATAAAGTATATTTTAAGATATTAGTATTACTTATCTCACAGTTCATAGTTTGAGAAACCATCTTTGATAGTAATAGTAGTTGCACAAATTATTGATATTATATTGGTGATTATAATTTTTCCCATTTTTCTTCATATATTTTCTTTGTGCACATGTTTATGCATGCCTGCAAAAGTGCATTAGTATGAATGTAAGGAAATTTTTTTCTGCATGGATGAAAAGGATTACTAATATGTAATTTCTTACTGAATATGCAAAGAGTATAAAAACATTGCAACATTTGTTATCAAAGATGATTTATAGGACAAAGTTTAAATCAGCATGCATTACTATATCAAGAAAATCATACAGTATCCTGCCAAAAAGTGAGTAAGAATTATAAAGAAATAAACATTTTATGCAAGTGACTATTAAAACATTGAAAAAATGGTTGAAAAGAAATTATTGGCTCAAAGACTTTCTTTCTACCAATACACCGTCCTAACAGAAACATATAATACAGTTTAGATGGTATTGTGTTATTTTCAAGGCAAAGCATTTTTAATGAATTGAAAATTATTTGCTAGTACTAGCAACTATAATATTATGTAATCTGATCAAAGAGAATCTGGTTCATTGTGAATATGAAGTATACAAATATGATTCAAAGAAATATTTGCTCCAGTTCAAGGTCATTCAGAAATTGTACAGCAGCTGTGCTTTAGGTAACTGATTGTACAATAAACCTTGAATGTAATAAACTTTTTTCCTAGCGTATGTGTTTATTCAAAATGGTAGCATTTACACTCAAGTTTCCATTTGTATATTGTTATTTTGATAATGAGAAAGTCATGAAAATTTTTTTCAATCATTGTTTATCAATCTAAAGAAATAAGATAAGATTCATTGGTTTGATATTAGTTGAAGAAGCTAAAGCATATGATAAAGCTTTTTATGGTTTTGAAATATAAATCAACTATTAATATATTTATGCCATTAGTTATTTCTTAATGTTTTTTAGGAAGTTGATTAAAATTTGTAACAGGGATCTAACATATTTGTAAATAGGTACAAATTGCACAAATTATGCACTCGCATGCGTACCCACAGGCACATGTACACACACACATGCACACACACACACACACACATACATTTACACACACATACATTTACTCACACATACATTTACACACACATACATGTACACACACACATATATGTACACACACACACATACTTGAACACACACACACACACACACACACACACACACACACACACACACACAACACACACACACACACACACACCACACACACACACACACACACACACACACACATGTACACACACACATGTACACACAACACACACACACACACACACACACACACACACACACACACACACACACACACACATACTCACACACACACACACACACACACACACACACACACACACACACACACACACACAACACACACACACACACACACACATACACACACACACATACACACCACACACACACAACACACACACACACACACACACACACACACACACACACACACACACACACACACACACACACGTACGCACACGTACGCACACGCACACATTACACACACATAACAATGTACACACACACACATACACATACACCCACACACACCCACACACGTACACACACACACACACACACACACACCACAACA